GTGCTACATCTAAATCTTTATTTAAATTCTTTTCTTAGAATGTGTTATTAATGTTGTGCATTAATTTCATGAAAATATTTTCTAAGATCTTTTTCCATTATGAATATAAATTTTAACAATTTAAATGAAGCAAAAGATTACTAAATATATGAATGGCTGAATGTCTGATTTCAGGTATAGGATCTAAAGCAATAATAGATAATTTTTAAAATATTTCAGGCAAATATAATTCAAGTTCTTCGTTAGTTAATATATTATTCTATTCAGCATTATGTGAATGATTTTTAGTTATGAAATCTCCCAGATGCCAAAGCATATTACAAATCTGGAAATTTATATTTTATTCGTCTATTTAATTATAAACTGTAATTACTTGAATTGGATTTGTATTTATCAATAATTTCAAATAATTTTTTAATTTATTCACCATTTAAATTTGAAAGAAATTGATTAATGATATATTCTGTACATGCTAATCCTTACTTAACAAAAATAGTTGTTTATTCTGATCCAATTTCTAATAATATGTTTAATATAGAATCCCATCCTTTTTATTAAATTTCATGTCCATTATTTTGTAGCATCTTTAATACATTATTTAATATTATTTCTCTTAAATCATTTTAATTTAATTTACACATATCAATCCATGGTTAAAAGAGAGTTTATTAGTATATCGAATCAGTTTTAAACCATTTGTCTTTAATATATTCTGAATGATGCTATTAATTTTTCTTATAAAATTAAGTCCAATGTTCAAAACCATAAAAAATTATTTAAGACAATGTATCAGCTGCATTTAAAACTAAATTAGTATTACGTGTTGATATAACTGAGATAAAATGAGCAATGATAAGTTCCCAAAATATATCTAATCTAAAAACATTAAATTTAATTAATTCAACTAATTTTGAAAGAGAAAAATATTTCTTTTAATCTCCAAATTATGAATTAGATCTTTTTAATTCTAAGGAATTTAATTATTCTAAACATTCAATAGTTATTTAATTAATAGCATCCATCACTGTTATCAAATGCTCATTTCCATAGGTAGGACTTTATGAAAATAATTAATCCAAACTTTAAAATAAGATTGTTATATCTAATGTCTTAATTTATTCCTCTTAACTTGAATTCTTAGCAAGACGATTTCTTAGATAATGATTCTCACATTCTTCAAATGTCTTAAATATACAAATCCAACTACTACATTCTAATAAATCTAAATAAATAATTAATAAATATAATACTTCCAAGACAATTAGCAATATTGAGTACCATTTTATTGATTTAGATATGTTTTTTTGTAAATTCTTATCCAATTTAAGGTTTACAAAATTCGCAAATAGTTTTTATAAATGCATTCTAAGCAGCCTTCATTTATATTGAACCAACTATATTAATATATTATTAAAATGCTGATAATAAATTTTATAAAGTTTACTCATCTAAATCCTTAGTTAATAAATATTTAATTCCTCTTAAATTCAATTTCCAAGTAAATTCAATAATTTGATAAAATTTATCTGTTGGTTGTAATTTAATTAAATTTCCTAATTATATTTTTTATTAATCAGCATAAACACATAGTGAATTTACAAAACGTGATTAAAATTCACTTAACATTCTACATACTAAACCATTGTCACTAGGATGTGCTTCAGAATTTTATTATAAATTAATTGTAGGACTTGTCATATCCATCCATCTTTTTTATTCCAATTCAGTAGGATCAGATATATCTTTAGCCAATCCAGATAACATTGTAATAATATCTAAAATATAATTCTATTAATATTATTATTATATAATATACTTTCTCATTTAATGGAAGTAAAAGCAATTAATCCAAAAATATTTAACTTTATACAAAATAGATTAAGGTTTACAATCCCAAATTTTTATGTATTGAATGCTCATTTGATTTTATTTATTAAATTAAGATATTCCAAACTTCTCCTGATTGTGGTCCATCCACTAAAAATGTTAAGCACTTAAATGCTACCACAATAATTGAGCTCTTTATCATATTAATTGGTATTGCAAGAATCTTTCTTAGAACTTAAATCAGATTATTTGATAGTAACTCTTATATGATTGTGTATTAAGTAAAGAATTTTCCCATATTTGATAAAAAACTGTTAATACTTGACAATCCAAACTCTCTATCAAGGGGAACTGATGGAGGAAACCAATGAGGACGAATGTAATCGCATATCTTAATCAAGTCAGACAATATAGTATGTAGATTTTACACTTCTTTTTAATGATCTATTGGAGTATTGGAAGTAGCTAATTATAAATTTTATTCTTGCTAATTGTCTAAATCAATAATAATATTCATGTCATCAAATCCTTGACCAGCTATTATTAATTGTGTCGATCCTGATAATAATTCAATTAATTTATCTAATGATGTTTCTGCTGATGCATATATTATAGGCATTTTAGAATTTTTCATAAAGAGTACAAATGTAAGACACTAAATGAATAGTATGATTATTCTACTTTTTCAACAAAACCATAATTACGAAAATTGATGAAGTCTTAATGTATAAAAGCCATAAAACTTTGTATTAGTTTATAATGCAATTCATCCTTTTGAATTTCTTTAATTTTCAGAAAGTAATCCAGAACATCTTCACTTGTTTAAATCTAAAATATAAATAAATTTGCATACATCATTTATCACTTTTAGGTTAATCAATTTTAGTAAAAAACAAATTAATGTTGTATGAAATTTGGCTGATTTTAACTCTTTTGAAGCAGGTATTAAAATCTTTTATATTTCCTATCTTGGGATATCTTGTACACCATTCCTTTTATTTTCTTCTAAAACCTTTTAAAAGTTGTTAAGAGAATCTTTCATAGGAGTATATTTCTTTTTTGATGACATAGCCTATTTGATTATCGAAATTTCACGTAAAGCTAATTGAACTCTCGATTCTTACATTTTTATATAAGTATTTTTATTAAAATTTTATTTTTTTCCTAAACCTTTTTTCTAACATAATAATATAAATTTATGGTCATCATAATAAAAAATTAAATATATAAAATATTGTTAATCATTTGCATTAGTATCTCACATTGCTAATTTCTTTTTTTTGTTAACTTCCCAAAAAGGTTCAATGTTGTGTCTAAAAAGAGATGAGACACTAGTCTTTGATTCTTTGACAACATTATATTTCCATAAACATTATCCAAAAAATTCCTTAGAGATTATTTTCCCTAATGGAGAATTTAGAATCTAATTTAATTCGCATTTTCCTATTTTATCTCCTGGAATTTATAAGAACTACATAATATCTTGATTCTCTTTCACTATAAGGTTATTTGTCTTATTACAAAAATTCTTTATGAATAATTATAATTATCTTCCATAACATTTGTGTAAGTTTTTGCTTTCTCCAGGAAGAGCTGTCTATATTTTTTACTGAAAATTAATTTAAATAGAATACTTTTTTTATCAATTTTTTTTTACTAGATTAATTTTCATCATCTATTTCTTATATATCATATTTGGTTTTTGATAAAGAGTTCTATGATGTTAGACTATTTTATTGATAATATTGTTATCCATTAATAAAAGGAAATTCATTTTCAAAATTTTATAAGTTATATTCTCTTCCCAAGGTATCACCCAAATCTCCTATACCTTATTGTTAGATTAATTAAAATTATTCACTAAAATCATATATTTATGGATGATTAGAATCCTATTCCATACCCTAATAAATTTAAGGAGATATGAATTCAAATTAATCACCTTAAATCTACTTATCTAAGGTCATTCTATAATTGGAGAAGTTGTTTTGATAAATAGACATTTGATTGTATATTTATTATTTTTATTTTTATTTTCCTTTTATTCAATATATCCTTTTAAAATAGGTCTTCTAAGATTTTTTCATTTTTTAGTTAAAAAAAATTGTTTAATAGCATCGATAAACACTTTTAATATACAAATAAGGGGCTTTATAGCATAACAATATTAAAAAAAAATATTCTATTTAATATATAATATAATTCATATCAATGAATTATATTTATAAATTTATAAATAATTATAATAACTTTAGGTTTAAATTATTATTTTTTATAAATAGATATAGAATTAATTATATGGTTTGTATAAAATATAATAAATGCAAATTAAAAGAATAAAATCATTTAAAATAGGACTTATTAGAAATCTAAGGATTCATGAAGCATTTTCCTTTTGTTAATAGATCATACTATATTATATATATTTATAGATTATACCAATTATAAAATAAAGGAGAGGATATATAATCTATACATAAAACAAGCATGTATAATAATAAACTTAGTATATCTAATTAATGTAAACTTTTCTCTTGCAAAATAATTCTCTATCAAAAGATCTGTTGAAAATATTAGCCAAAATATTAATAGTTGCTTTTTAGAATCCTTTTACCTTTGAATTTCATAAGTTGTTTATAAAATTGCATATACAATCAACATAATATGGCTGATATATGAAGTGGCCATAGAATAGGCTGTCAAGAATAAAATAAATACAATTGTCAAAAACAGCGCACTCTTTATTTTGAATCTCTTTTAAAATAACTTAAAAATTAATGATTAATTTAAAAAGCCAACACCAATATCATCATAAAGGGTGTCGAATGTATATTTTTATTATACGTTAATCTTTTTAAGGTTTTCTGAGATTCTATTATGTCTTGTAAATGGTTATTCAAACATTATATATTTTTTATTAATATTTATTTCTAATTAATAGATTTAATTGATTATATATGTTATTTAGAGTCTTTTATCATTAAACTTGACTTACTTCTATTGATTGATTAAACTTGATTATAGTTTTTATTAGATAATATATAAATCTAATATATTTTGGATAGATAAAATTACAAAGATGAGTATTAAATTTATGAAATTACATTATAGAAATATATTTGTAGAGAGAAAAAAGAAATGATATTTTGTAAATTAGAATAATTAATATTAATATGTATATATTAATATTGCTTGAAATCATTCTAGTTACTATATATTGTGCTAAAATAATCAACAATATTTGCTGCAAAGATGTTAACTTTATTGTAAAAGTTACATGTCTGATTTCTTGGTTAACGAATTTCATTTTACTTATTTTATTACCATTAGATAATTATATAACATTTAAAGATCAAGAAACATATAGTAATTAGAATGGTTTAGAGGTTCATTCCAGAGAATATGAAGCAATAGCAAATGTAATATTTCATATCAATAAAGATATATTAAATATTGTATTGGGCTAATTTCATACTTTGCTGGACAATTATTCTAATAATGTAGGAATATGAAGAAGCTATAGATCTTAATCAAACTTCAAAGTTTATGAGATCTTTAATTAATAATGGCAAATTTTTTTTAGTAATTGGAATTGCTGGCATAATATTTGTTGTCATACTTTTGATTACAGGATAAGCATGAGATTTTAGTTTGGCTATGTTGCTTAAAAGTTTGGCTAATTCTTTTGGTGTTGCTTTGATTATAGTATTGTTGGGATAATTATAACATATTGTATAAATATAAGATATTCTCTCATTGCAGTTCCAAGAGCTCATGTGAGAACTTCTACTTTGGATGTTCAAATGAGATATTTTTATTTTAAAACAGCTAAAATAACTGAGGAAAAAGATGATGCTTAGCATGATTTATAAGAAAAAGCTAAATGAGTTGTTGGTATAAGAAATTAAGAGTAATTTTAGTAATAATCATCAAAAAAATATTTATAGAAAAGTATTCAGACAATTCCTAAATCTATGTATAAGGATTTATTAGAAGAGGATGTCAAATCTAAGGCTCCAGGAATTTCTTATTTATAAAGAATGTTCTATAAGGAATAAGAATTGTAAGAAAGCATATGCCTTTGAAAATGTTATAAATTCAATAGAAAATCCTGACAAAAAAATTCATTATGATTTAAAATTTAATAAAAGAAAGGGATCTTGATCTTAATAATTAGATACTTTAGAATGGTATTGGTTATGTTATTACAAACCTTAATTCAAAAAATACTTTTTTCAATAGCTTTGGGTATTTTATCATTGTTAGTAATTGTATCAGTAACTACTTTATTTATGAATACTCCTTTTACTATTTTTGGAATGCCTATATCAGTATAATCTGGAGTGATAACCTTATAAATATTTTGTTTTGTTCTTTTGTTTTATATATCATTTTGTGTTTATTATGGAATGTTTAGAATAAAGATAGCAGGATGTTATGGATTATATGATGATCATTAAACTGATGCATCAAGTTTGTTATTCTCAACAATAAATTTCAGTATAGTAGCAGCTCCTTTATGCTAAAACTTTTTGAATATGTTAAGAGTTAAATAAAGATTGAATTGTGAACTAGCATTCAAATTTGCTATGGGAGAAGTAATTATTATATATTATATAAAATAACATGGAATTTGTACCAATTTTTGGAGTAAATGTTATTTAATTGATGCCTGCTTTATTACTTTTTTTGTGTTTCATTAAATATTCTGATTGATATGATAGATTTATGAATTTTCTTGGATTAAAAGAATTTATGTTTACTGAAACATTCTCTGATAGACTTATATTTAGAGGTAAAGATGCTTTGAAAGATAAGAAGGCTTATTTTATTTAGAAAAAAATGAAAAAATAAAAGGATAAACATAAAGAAGGTGATATTGAATTACTTAATATTCAAAATGATTGTTATTGATTTATATTTTAATGTATTGTATTAATATATCAATAGACATTACCTTCAAATGTTTATTTAAACCATTCCATAGCTTCTTTTTTAGAGACTCTCTAAGCTGTTCCTAATCTTGCATTTCTTGATTTTCTTTAAGCAACTCTTAATCCTGGTCTTGACAAGATAACATAGAAATCCATACCAAAAATACCTAAATAACATTTATAATAATAAATACCTGTGTATGGATCATATTTTAATCCCAAATCAATATGTTCTTATATGCCAAATCCAAAGTTTCCTGAATCAGAGAAATTTCTCTTTTTCAATTCCATTTCTTTAACTCTTAATCCTCTAAATAATATATCTTTAGCAGCATCTCCTCTAATTGTACAGAATACAGAAATCTTTTCATTTCTTCTGATACCAAAAGATCTCACTGTATATCTTGCCTTACCAAATACTGGTTTTTATCCTGTTAAATCCTCCAAAACCTTGGCTGCCTTTGTTAATTTATCACCAGATTCTCCTGCACAAATATGAACCATTAATTTTTCAATTCTAATCTTTCTCATTACATTCTCCTTAGTTTCTTAAGGTTTTACAACTTTAGCTGGAGCTGCAGGTTTTCCATCTGTCTTTGTTTGTTAAGCTTTTCCACCCTTTCCCTATTGTTAAGACATCTAATATTTAATTAAAAAATCTTTATATTTAAAATCACTTTTTAATGGTTTATTTTTTCTTTTTCTTTATCACACTTAATCAATTTTTTTATATTTAATAACTAATATACTATATACTATTATTAGTATGAGACTAAAAAATAAATGAATATCAATTATTAGTATAATTTCAATAGTAATGATAATTCAATTTATATTCCTATCCCCTTAAAGAACATTAAATATTTTAACCATGATTAGGTGGTTCTTTAAATAATTGTCTAATTAAACAAATAAACACATATTCTTTTTTGGATTGAAAGTACAATACCATTTAATCAGAACTGGTTGATTGAGAAATTGGATAATCACTTATATAAATCAAGACACCTTTTCCATATCTGCTTAATCTATTTCTTAAATATTCTAGAGTAGTCTAATGAAATTATGATTTGCTGTTGTAATAAAATTCGATAATTTCATTTTTAATGAATTCATCAACAGTTGATTAAATAATATTCATATAAATTATATATATAATACAAATTTAATTGATTACTAAATGCTAAAAATTATTCATACGTAATTAAAAATATATTAAATAAATCCAACTATGGGCACTGTTTAAGCTTTTGTGAATTATAATACCGAATTGACTTTCACTTCTGATTTAAATGATTAAATTTAATGTTGTGGAACAATCTCTCATCCAGCATTTGGAAATATCCAGTTATGGAAAATTAAGAATAAACCCTCTCTCGAACTATTTTCTTTTGTAATATACATCAATAACTTAAGACTAGACATTTATACTTTTAAGATTCCATTTTATTAACTATTCATTCAAAGAGAACCTAATTATAGCATCCAAATCTATTATAATATTATGCCTGTACTCAAAACTCTCCTTCATATTGTGGAAATGTAGAAACATAATAATTATATTTTGAATATATTCCACAAACATTATCATAATATTTATGTGCAAGATCAGAACCTTTTAGAGAAATTGAAGTTTGGAGGGTAATCTATTAAATTCTAAATTATTAGTCACTTGAATAGTTAGTCAGTGTACTAAAATACTTGTAAAACAATGCATAATCTCATGGAAAAATTACCTTAGATCAGATATTCATAACTTCAGATTAAATTTTAAAAACACTGGATTAAATTACAATTTAATCAACTAATTAATAGATAAAATAAGATGTTTATGATCTAGCTAAAGTTATAATTGAACTTATGACTAAAAAGAGTAACATTTATTAATATACTAGAATTTCATGCAAGTTTAAAAGAAACAGTAATATCTTTATCATCTGATTATTCTTAATAACTACTACAATTATTAGCCAGAATGCTTAATAATATACCTGAAAAAAGACCAGATTTCATAGAATTATCTGAAATTCTATACAATAGATAATATAGATCAACTAGTAAAGAATATGAAATAGCTTTAAATTCTTCAATAATTAAATTTCAATAGAACTCTTAGAATCATTCTTTAAATTAAATGATAAATGTAAGAACTAATTAAATATTCAATAAAAATCTACACTAAACATAACTATCACCTTATAAAATAATTCAATTATCACCTTAAGGAAATATTATTAGGTAGTTTTCACCATAGAGAATAGTTTAACCTATCAAAAAAGAGGTAATCTACTCCTAAAATAAACAATCATATTAACAATTAAATGGTTTATATAGAACTTCAAGCCCTCCAAAAGGAAATAAAGCTAGCTCTTAGGCTTCAACAATTAGTTATAATGCTTCACTAATTTATAGGACTTAATAATATCCTTTATCCACTCAAAGAGCAAGCAGATCAAATAAACTCTTTATTGCTTAACACAATAGCGATGTGAAAAGAAGGCTATTTAAAGATGATTTGAATTAGACTTCTACAAGCTAACCTCCTATTGAAATGGTATTATGATATAGATATATAAAATAAATTAAATTAAATTTATTATTAATATTTATAATCAACTTTTTATCAATCACTTTTCTATGCTCTTTATATTTATGTTTTTAGTATACTAAAACCTAACTTTTTTCAAATATCCTTATTCAGTTAAGGGAAATAACTAAAAAATCAAATACAAATCTACAAATAATAAAAAATCGATTCCTAAACAAATTTAAATTATTGTCATGATAATTCTTTCCCAATAGGTACTTTAAGTAATTTTAGATTCATGAACATTATTTAATTAATAGATATTGTTATATTTTATTGGAATCAATTTAATCTCTTGTATTTTCCCTGATCCTCTCTTCTATTAAATAAAGCAACCATTAATGTTTAAATATTTTCTATAGTATAATTAATAGGATTATTGAAATACTTTCTGATAGTCTTTTCAATAATTTTATCCAAAGTTAGGAATTTTTATTTTTTCAAAATTAACTATTGCGATATACATTATATATATTGATACAAAGCATAAGAATTTTCAAGAAAAATATTTATATTAAAAATTTCATTTAAAAAGTGACACAATTACTTTAGAAGTGCTTATAAATTAGTCTCAATATAATTATTTCTCCATATTTTATCATCTAAATATTAGAAATCTATATGAAAAATATTAATAATTATTATATAAATTAATAAAAATATTTTTAGAGTAATTATTGATGCTACTAAAACTAAGAACAAAAAATCAATAAAAACCTCAAAAAACAGATCTAATATATAATATGAATGATATATTATAATACCAATCAACACTAGAAAAAAAAGAAATTTTTGGTAATCATTTTAAATAAAGAATAATTCTTCTTGATCTAAATCAATAACAGACTTATTTATTATTTTTACAAAATGATTTTAGAATTATATTATTATAAATATGAATTATTCTAGATTACTGCAGCAATATTCTTATATATATATTAATAATGTCTATAAAAAATAAAAATAGAACAATGCATTTATATAACTTATTTTATTATATTTACTGATTTCTCTCTTGTTTTTTTATCTTAATTTTTAACTTATTTATTCTTAAGACATATAATTGAATGTTATGAGCCATAATTTAAAATATTTTTTCATGAAAATTTTCTAAAAATTATACTTATATTTATTATTATTTAGCTTGGTAATTTGATCATAATCTATATAATAAAATATTCAAGTCATGTTAAATTATTATAGTAACTTAATTTCTATTATTTTTTATGTGTATCTTATTTTTGTATTTTCATATATACCTTATTGTAATTTATTCAACAAATTTTTTATAAATAAGCCTGAGAGAGTAAGTCCATAGCTAAATTCAATTAATAATTTCAATATAAACACAAAATGAAATCAATGTACATATATTTTTCGAAATACATTATAAAATAATTACTATACATCTTTAGGAGTATGTGACTTTAGTTTAGCATAATATTTTAAATCTAACTATTGCTAGATGATTATATTTTATCAATTCAGTAAAAGAAGAATTGCAATTTTCTCAAAATTATTATGTATTATTGTTTTAAAAAATAATTTTTAATTTTAAGCTATTGCCTTTTTCTGTATTATTCTTTTATTGGTAGGGAGATTCTTAAATTACCTAGGACTCATCATTAAAATGTATAGATAAATTTTTCATAAAGAAAAGGCTAAGAAAGGTTAATAATTGAATGGTTATTATTAATTTATTTTCAAAATATAATTAATAAGATATAAAAAGAAAAATATCTTGAATTCTTAATGACTAATCAATAAGGACCCTTCTCTACCCCTGCATTTATCATAAAACTGTATGATATGCTTGATGAATAAGTATTTTTATATGATAATCTCATAAAGAGTACCCCATAATTTTAAACAATAATTAAATGGAGTGACGATGGTGAATACTTCATTGTAATGAACCCCAAAGAAATGGAAACTCAGATATTGCCATAATATTTCAAACACAATCACTATTAATCCTTTTTAAGACAATTAAACATGTATGAGTTCTAGAAGGCAAGGAATTCAGAGAATAATGAAATATTTACCCACCCAAATTTCAAAAAAGGAAACAAGTATTATTTTCTTACAATATTAGAAAACAATTATCTCAAATTAAACGAAACCCAATCAAATAGAAAGTATTATTGAAGAAAGAAAAGAAAAAGGTAAAAGCAGAATCAAATGAGGCTGAATTTGAGTAATAAATGGAATAAGAATTAACATTCTTAAAATAAAGGTAGCTATAATTTGAAAATGATTTCAAAGCGATAAGTGAATAAAACTAAGTTATTATGGAATAACATAATTCTATATGGTCCTAATTAAGTTTGTCTAGACAATCATTAGATACTAAAATTGATAGGCTTAGCTATTTGTTAAGTTTCTTTTTGAAATAACAAGATACAAACATTAAAGATAATAATGGATAAGATTTATTTAAAGCTAATGTCAAGACAGAACTAGAACTTCCATAGTCGCAAACTTAATAAATGGAATCATTATCCCCAATATTAAGAATGATGTAATCATAACTAAATTATTCACTTAAAAAAAATTTATCAACATTTAGCCCAAATTAATGTAAGATAATAAAATATTTGTTTTTAGTAAATTCTCCTTTGCCAATTAGAAGTTAATAAGAAAATTAAGACAGTTAATACTCGAATTTAAGTCCATATTATCAGAAGTCTTTTTAAGATTACATGTGAATAGACTAAAACAATTTGTAAGGATTGATTTTTGATATAAAGCTATATTAGCTTATTATTATTATTTTATTCAGATAAAAGATTTAAGGAAATCCAAACTCAAATATATAATCAAGAGCTTTATGAAGTTTTGAAATATAAACTTGTTTACATATAAACATCTGACTAAGATAAATTTTAAGTTGTGAAAATCATTTATTTTTTGAACTGGAAAATAAAGTTACGCTTCTTAATTTACTTTTAATTTTGTTCACATTTTCTATTTGAGTTTGTGTTTTTTTATGTTTAATATCGAAATCTGTAACTTCTTATTCTTTCTTAATAACCTTTCCTTCACTTAAGGTATCTTCATCTGGTTCTTCTTATTCTAATTATATAGTATTTTAAGCTTCACAAAAGACTATTGTACCATTATTATCTTCATAATTTTTTAAATGCTACTCAACTGGTCTCACATCCTTCTTTTTAGCCATGTATTTTAAAAATGGTATTAATCGAAGAAGACAATCATCATCATCTGAATCTAAAAATGATGGTATTAATAATCCATTATCTTTATAATTTATAAAAGCATTTGGATTATTCTAATTATTGATTTTTAATTACATCTATGAAAATTATATCTCCCATAGGTCTGTCTATTAACTAAAGATCTTTATAACAAATTCCATCAATAAATTAACAGCTCCCTCTTGCATAATAATCACTAATTATTTTTTTTTTATCTATAAAACTTAATACTTCTTAACAATAAGCTTCATAACCTGCTGTAAAAATAAATATTTCATAATCTTTGCTAATTTCTTATAAAAACTGATTTAAATAAGGCCGAGCTTTCAAATATACTTTGTATACTTATCCTTTGTGAATGACTTCAAGCAATACCTCATGTTGAAAATCTTCATTTTCTTTAAATTCACAATGAACTAGTGTTTCATCTAAATCTAGAACTAAAACTTTCTTTTAAGCAAATTATTTTGGTGTTTATGCTGAAATATAATTCTTCTAAAACTTGCCTTTAAAATGTTCAAAACAATTTCTGAAAAGTGCAAAAATACTCATTTTTTTACAAATTTTTGTGTAAATTAATCAATAATAATTAGAATTATTAAATTAAGATTTTTAATAATAAGATAAGTGATACTTTCTTATATAACTTAAAAGTTTATTTAGAATGAATCTTAAAATTTAAAGGTAATTTAAATAATAATTTTTTTTTTATTTGATAATATATTTAGATGTTATACTAAAAAGTTAATACTAATTTATATATCATAATTTAAACTTTTAAATATGGAATAATTTTTTGTTTGAAATATCAATTATATCTCTATTAGTATGTATTAAATAGTTTTAAATTTGATTTGTTGGACAAGACAATGTCTTTGTTTTTATTGTCTTTTAAATAGATGATGATTCTTGATATAATTTATTTAATTTGATTTCTGTATAAGAAGCAAAAGAATCTTCTCCATTGATCTATCTACGGGAAGTGAGAGGACCCTCTATTTTAATATCATTTAATTTTCCTTAAAAAGATTTTGCCAATTTAATTTAAGTATGACCTCTGTTATTTTTTTATCGAAAGAGGTTTTTCACTTAGTAATGTTACTTGATATTTAAAATCTAATACTTTAATGGCCATTTATTGTTATTAATTTTCTTGAAGAACTAATTGATGCTTTACTTTACTTTCTATATATCGTATTTACTAACTTTTATCAGTCAATCTAAGAAACCTATCCTTTTGAACTTAATCAAGTTCATGATTTTTTTAGAGGAAATCATATATTTCTTATTCTACTTATTTCTCTACTTGCATAGGATCTTTTTCAGTGAAGAATCTATTAAGTTTTTTATTTCTGTTTGGAGATGTTTCAAACATTTTAGAATCTTCAACCTTTGTTGATTAAGTATGTTATTATTATTGTTATTTTTATTAAGGTAAAGCATTTCTTCTTGATTTAGCTAATTGTTATTTTTTTAATTGTTCCTAATCATAATTTTAAGTTTGCTTTTTCTTTTCTCCTCTAAATAATTACATAACCATTTCCATCTTTAATTTAGCTTTTTCTTATTCATTATCTTCATCCTTTTTCTTTTTATATCGCCTTAACATTTTTTTAAATATATGAGCATATTGTTAAATTTTTGCAATATCATCAGCATTTCTTATTTCTTATCTTCTATCTATAATATGATCAATTAATTTCACTCTTTGTTAATAAGTGTGTAAACCTTCAACAGCCTTCTTTACCTGAGATCTTGAAAAAACATCTGAAATTTTATTATAAGTTTTTGAAATCAGATCACTCATTTGTTAATAAAATTACTAGTCAATATATATATAATTAATAAATAGAAAAATATTTAATATTTATTTATATTTATATAAAACATTTTACAAAATCCATAAAATCCAATACAAGTTTAAATAAATTAAAAAATACTTATATATATATATTTATTTTAACATTTAAAAAATGCTCATAATAATAATGAACTGTAGTTTTTTCTAAATAAGTAAATTCTATCATGTTAGTAGTAAACATTTAAATCATATTAACCAATAAATGATAGAAATTATTATTAGATATTTAATTCCTAAAGATGTGCAACATATTCATTCTTTTTTTTATCAACTTCATCAATTGTAAGTAATTATATTTTTGCATCACTACAATCATTATCATTTTAACCTCCAAATATTAAAATTGAATTAAAATTAATTTACAGACAAACACTATTCAATTTAAATATTTAATCTTATCCACTTGTCAATTTTATTTGATACCACTTATGTCTTTTAGTATCATATCTATAAATAATTATTTTATAATTTACTTTTCTATAGTTTTATCAAAATGATCAAAACGATTCAACCCTCCAAATCTAACCAAATATCTTTATTGAAAAACAACAAGATTAACTTTTGTTAAAGGAGTTTAAATAGATTTAATCTTTTACCATTCTAATGTTTTTAGACTAAACCTTTCACAAGTATTACTTACTTATTTATTTTGATTTTCACCACCAATTAAATAAATATAATGTCCTATTTAAGCAACTCTAAAATTTCTTTTTTTCTCAATCATATTAGGTAAAGCTTATAATATTGATGTTTGTTCATTATATCTATAGAAAGCATTGTCAGCAGACTAAGAAAATGGATTAAATAAAAATATGATTCCTTCTTTAGATGCAAATGATATTAATTCATTTGTAAATTAATGTTCTACATCACAAATTATCTTTTAAACATTTTCAGCATCAATTTACCATTAAAAGAAATACTTTGTATTTGGTTTGAAATAATGTAAAAATTCTTTTTATGGATCAATAAAATAATTGATATGATTAAATTCAATTATAGGTTTATGACAATTTAAAGTAGTAATTGTAATTGGTGTAATTCTTAAAAGTTATTATCCACTTTCAGTTATATATGATCTATGTTTTGGAGGTTAAATATCTAATAAATGAGATTCATTAATTTTCCCTTTAAAACTTAATTCAACTGCCTAATCTAGTATTGTTTATTTATATTATTCTGAATTTAATTAATATTTATGATTATATTTTTGAATTGTTTATTATTAATCAGATTATTCTTCCATTAATGAATGTTCAGCATTTGAAAATGAAAAATTCTCTGCTTCATTTGTTAAAGCATCATCTGCTATTTTTATTAAGTTTTCTGTTTTATCAAAATGAAGTGTATATTACAATTTAGCCTAACCTTTTTCTTCTTTTTTCTTTTCATATTCCTCTTTAAGTGGTAATTTATTATTTGAATTTAAATGATAATTAATAAGTTCTTTATAATGGCCTTTTAATATCTTGTTTGCAATATCCAAAGGAACTAATAAAAATGTTTAAGCTGCTACTATTGCAGCATTATGATTAGCTTAATCTACTTCATAATTGAATTAAATATTGCTAACATCATTTTAATTCAAAAATCTAAATAAATGTTACCATATCTACAACAATTACATTGTTATTTTAAGTAAATTCAATGATAAATTATCATTCATTAATTGTGTTGGTGTTATATTTATTTATTCTAGTTCAATACTATTTAAAACAAATTAAGCAACTTTGTCAAGTGAATTTAAATCAGCTGGATTAAATACTTCAATCTAAATTGTTTTATATTGACTACTAATTTTAAATATATTAGAATAAAATACATATTTTAACTTCCTCCCATACCTTTACTAGATGTAAGTAAGTCTTCTGAATCTATAAATTAATAGAAATCATGTAATCCTCTTCTAAGATCAATTTCATGTTAAGTCAATAAAGAATAAGGATCTTCTTTATCTATTTCTGATGTCAATATCAAAATCTTATCTTAATAATATTATATGCTATTTTTTAAAGCACAAAAGGTTTAATTATAAACCTATTAAACATAACTTAATTTTCTTTTGACTGCCTACAAATCAATATAGTTTTGTATGATATTCTGATCCATCACTTTTTTAATGAAATAGTATTGAAATAATCGATGTAGGAAATTTTAAAAGATATCATATATTCTGCTCTGATTATCAATTAAATAAGAAAATAATCCACCTGATTAGGGAAGTAATATTGATTTTTTAGTTTGTAATTTTGGTTGAGATGGAGTATTGATAATTTCAGAGAGAATGTGAGAATTTTATGTCTGACTGAATTGAGGATAGATCTCATTATTATTGACAAATTCTTATTGTTATTCAGCATTTTGTTCTTGTGAAATTTGTGAAAAGGATTCATTTAATAAATCTTAGGATATAAAGACTGCCTACTCTGGATTTTCTAAATCTCTGAAACTCATATTAACGGATAATAATAATTATTAGAATGTATTATTATGATTACAAATTGATTCATTTATAGTAAGATTGTATGAATAAGATCATCATCATTTAATTAACTTTAGTAATACTTATTTAAGTGAACTGATATTCAAAGGTTTTGTGAATACTTCTCTCATTCCAACTTCTATGCATCTTTCAATATCTTCAGTTGAATTAAAAGCAGTTAATCCAATTATAGGTATGTCAGGAATAATATTTTATCTAATCATGTCCATTAAAACCTTTGTAGTTGTCCAACCATCCATTATAGGCATTTAACAATCCATTAAAATAAAATAAAATAATTCGCAAGACTCAGAACATTTCTCTGTATTTTTAATAATTTCTATTGCTTATTATCCATTGTATGCCTAAATATATAGATATTATATACTATTTATAAACGAAAACCCATCTAACTAATTATTACTTATAATGCTTTCTAATTAAATATATCATCATCAACACTCAAAATTCTAGCACATTTGCATTAATATCTTATATTTAAAAATTATTCTTCCATCTCAATTTCCTTTTCTTCTCTTTAAATTAATCTAGATATAAGAGTATTTGGTCGATTACTTGAAGAAGCATCTATATCAGATATACTAAATGAAGATTGCTTTCTTTTTTTAGGCTATTTATCATTTGTATCTATATTTTATACTAATAAAGTAGTGTGTATACTTTGACTATTTAATTTTAATAAATTATCTTCAAGATTAATTCTTTCTGAATCTTAATCATCAATTAGATCAGTCTCTTATTAAACACTTTAATTATATGCTCCAGTTGATTATTATGGTTTGAAATAATTAGCAATTGAATGTTGTTATCTTATTGGAATTTATTATATAGAATTATCAAAAATTGAATCATTTTATTTAGGATTATTTATTATTAAAATTCCCTATATTCCCATACATAAATCAGGTACAGTAAAAGCACATTTTAAACTTGTTCTTTAAAATGTATTACCTCTTAAAATCTATGTATTTGTTGATTAAGTAGTTCTAATTTTAAAAGTTACTTAACAACCTTCTGTTTAACCACGTGAAGTTATTCTTAATTAACTTTTATTTTATGGAGCTAATTTTAATAAATTCATTTAACTAACAAGTAATCCGAAACCTTCCCATTCATCTTAACTAGAAAAATCTCTACTTTAATTATATGACTTTAAAAATTATTAAATTTGATATAATTTATTTTATGGTATTCCTACTCCTTAATCTTTTATACAAAATGTCATAGTTTTTTCATAACAAGATATTTCCAATGTTATTAATCCTCTTACAGAATATTTAATTGAATTTGATATAAGATTAACTAAAATTTACATAATTCTATCAAAATCAGAGTCTATAATAGCAGGAACTGAATTTTTTACATTAATATGTAATCCTAAATTTTTAATTGTACAAATTGGTTTAAAAATATCATTAATTTCTTAAATAATATTTTCAAAATTGAATTCTTGAATATTATACTTAATCACATGAGAATGAAATTAAGTAAAATCTATAATATCTCTTATTAAATAAGCCTATAATTTTAAAGCATTAGCTGCTGGTTCTATACAATTAGTTTTATAAGTATCCAAGATATTTGGATCATTTAACAGAGCATCTAAAAATAACTTTGCACTATTTAAAGGTGTTCGCAATTCATGAGAGAAAGAATCAATAATGCGAACTTAAAATTTTTCTCTTGTTTCTAATTTCTATAAATAACTTTGTAATGAGATATCATCCATTATAATAAGATATTCTTAATCATTCTAACCACAAAATATTTTGCACTAAATTTTACGAATATTATCATCTTCAAATAATTAAGTTTATTTATTCTTTGATGTTTGACCTAATAATTCTAAATGATTTTCCTTTGATTAAAATTAATCTAAATTTCCATTTTATAATTCTACCAAAATGTCTTTTAAAGTATTTGGCATATTTTTTATACTTGGAATTTTGCTACAACTATAAAACTAAGGTAAACTATTGTTGTTTAATTAAGTTTGTTATTTTGTCAGTCTTATACTAGATTCCCTTACTTATTTTCTCTTCCTTTTTATCTATAATTTAAATTATAATTCATTCATTAAATATGATTAAACATCTTTGACTCCTTAAAACATTTACAACAGAGATTGATTTTAAAACATTATTTACAAATTCTCTTTTTTAACAATCATAATTCCTACTGGAATATTTTATAATCTTATCATCCATTAATTGCTTATAGTATCTTAAACTAAATTCATTATTTCTGAATTTCTTTGGGTTGGCTTAGTTAAATGAGAAGGTAGTTCAAATTCTTGGTTTTGCAGTTATAAACTTGATTTAGCTTTAGGAATCATAATTAAAGTACAGTAGAATGCTAAAATGTATAAAATCATGTTTTCATTATGAAATATTAATAAAGAAAACAAAACTGAATTATAGACAACATGATATAAAATACATCTTATTCTTGATTACTTTTTTATAATTTGTGCTTCTTAAAATTTAATTAGTAAATAACTGCACACATTTAATTCACGATTAAGAAAACAGCAATATGTAATTTGAATACTTAGTATTATAAGTATTAATTATTGTAAATGACTCTTATTTATTAACTTTTTTTTCAATATCAAAATCCCAGTCAACATTATCATACCATTAAGCATAAAAAATATTAAAGATCCTAATTAAGTGATATCTTACAAATAAAGTAATAATCCTAAAACAATATTGAGTATGTTTATTGAATGAAACTTTATTTAAATCCAATTTAATTACATTAAATAATTTAATGTCAGAATAATCATTATAAATAGCCATATTAAATTATAAAAAAAAAACAATGATAAACTCATCTCTAATTTTAAATTCGTTAATTTTTTTGGTTAAATTTGAATTCTTTTAACAAAGATTAATGAACCATAAATGTCAAAATTATATAAATAATATAAATATTAATATTCTTTTATATTTCAAGCATTCCAAATATTTATAGAATAAGATAACGAGTAAAATAAAAAAAGAAATTTTCATTCTTTATCCTTTTTTCGATAAAATATACAAATTAGCAATAAAAATAGAAAATTAAATGACATGAAGAGATAATTAAAACGCTATTATTTTAGTGATAATTGATTTAAGTTATCTAATATGAATTCAAACTGAATAGCCAAGAACAACAGTAGTATTTATAATAATGTTATTTATATTTTTAACATTAAATTTACAATATTAATTGGCATATAATATCCATTAATTTATTTGGAATTCACAAAACATATATGAAAAATTAATTTGAATTGTTATATATAAAAATAAACATAAAATATTAAAATTAAATTACATTTAGAATGTGACACTTATTTAAATAAAATTGTTATTCTCGATTAGTTAAAGATTCAAGTGTTTTTTTGTATGAATTTTAGGAAAATCTAATAATTGTATAAAATAATCACTTTGTACTAAGTGATTATAAATGATTATAAATATTTAAAAATATGGAAAAATGAATTCATTTATTTATGTAAATTTTACTTTATCAAGATTTGAAGTAATATTTTTCAAACAATATTTTATTAATGTTGTATTCGTATCTTAAAATCGATTTTACTTTAAATAGGCGTCTAAATAATATTAAAAAATGATAAAGAAGAAGATTACGTTTCTTAATAAGAAATATTAGCTAAGCTAATCTGAAGATGAGAAAACACCAGACACAGCCTTGACTCCACTTTCAATTAAAGAATAAATACAAAGCGATGATTCAGATACTGGTACACCTAGTAAAATGGCTCTAACTCCCTTAAAAATGTCTAAATTCAAAATTTAACACGAAAAAAGCAAATCTTCATTTGCACATAATGGCAGGAATTTAGTTAATAGAAGAGATAAACTCGCAGATCATCCATTTAGATAGTTGATTTTTGGATAAAGAACAACTTAGGAGACTCTAATAAAACATATTGAATAAACATAAAGAGGAGTTATTTATGCCACTAAATCATTAAAACCACCATCAGAGAAATTTTTATTGTAAAAGTAAGTGGACATTCCATTAAAAGACAAAGAAAAAAAAATATTGATATTAGATTTAGATGAAACACTGATACATTCTTGTACAAGCAAAGAGAAATCTTAAGTCTAATTAAAAACTGAAGATGGATAATTAGTATTATATATTGTAATATTTTAGCTTAGATTCAACGTTCGACCATATCTAGCATATTTTCTTGATAATTTATCTACATTTTACTAGATATTCATATTTACAGCCTCTTCACCATCATATGCATTAGCTTTAGTAGATTACATTGATCCTTTAGAAGATAAGATCTTAGGAATATTTACTAGAAATCATTGTCTCGAAACAAAGAATGGTTACTTTATAAAGGATCTTCGTATTCTTAGAGATGTTGATTTAAAAAACATTATAATTGTTGACAATTTAACTCATTCTTTTGGATTTTAATTAGAGAATGGTATACCAATTTTAGAATGGACAGATGATGAAAAAGATTAAGAATTAAAATATTTAGTCGACTATTTAATTGAGGCCAGTTAATATGATGATGTTAGAGAATTTAATAGAGAGAAACTCAAATTACATGACCTTATTGATTATATTTTATGAAAAATTATTATTATAAGATTTATAATAATTCTTAGGAGAGCTTTAGATATATTATAAATAATACTCTCATTTCACTTAGCAAGTCTTGATAAATTATCGGTCAATGTAATTAAAAATGCTGTTTGATTTTCGATTCAGCTTTCTTAGCTAATGGATGAATATTTTTGTTCAAATTTAAACGCAGCAATGATAAATTCAATTAAAAATCTCTTTCTTCTTAACTTAATACTGCAGCCAATTGCTACATTTATAAATCTGGTATTAATAAAATTTTATAGGTTTCTTAGATCATTTAAATAACATCTTCCACTTATTATTATTATTTAATGTATTTTTCAATAAAATTTATAGCTCTTATCTGAGCTTATTTTTCAACTTCTCTTTCCATTAACAAGTATGATAGTGTTACTTTTTAACATTAGTTAATTTATTTATTTTCCTATACTGATCCTCTTTATTATAATTAATGTCCTTATAGTTAATCACTTTAATTATTATTTTATTGATTCTAATTTTAGTGTTGTTGTGAATTATTATTATTATTACCAAGATATTGTTTACTAAGTAATTTTTATTATTTTTTATCCTTCTTACTTTATTTGCATATGGATCCATGTCCAAGCACGTTAATGGCAATGCCCTTGCCAGAATTAGAATTTTTATTAATGCTCTTTGAAGCATCAATAAATGCTCTATTATCAATCAAGGGTTCTACTCTAATTGGCATTACAGGATTCGGTCTTTTTGTGATTCTCTTAATTGTTTGATTTTCTTCTATTGAGTTTGGATTAGAAGACTTTAATTAAAAGAAAAAAGGTACATTCTCTGTGCAGATTGATGACATTTCCCAATTATCTTAAAAGTCTTCTTCAACTGATGAATTATCATCTTAAAAATCTTAACTTCTCTCCTCATCAAAGAAAGACGAGTTTGTAAATATTTCTGTAGAATTGTATGTGTATTCAACATCATTGCTGAGTTTTCTTTGCTTTTAAATTTGCTTCTCAATATTTGACATATTAGCTCGTGTATTAATTTAATTATTTATACATTAATCAATTCATCTGTGTTACAAACACAAAGTAATAAAAGAATTATTCATTAATTATTAACTTAATAATATATTTATGCAATATTTTCAAGTTTAAATTAATGATTTATTCATCTGTTCTGATAATTTATGTAATTTATTATTTGAATGAAATCAATAAAATATTCTGATAATACTTTAATATAAGAAAATAATAATAATTTTTTTTATAACTGTATATAGTTATAAGAAATCACAAAAAAGAAGAAAAATACAATTTGTTAGATAATCATTTAAAATTAAATTTGCTGTATAAGAATATAAATCTATGCTTATTACTATTACAAACAGTCTAAAGTTTAGAAGAACATTTAATAACAAATTAATTAAAAAAAATAAACTTGAAATTGATTAAATATATGATAATAAGTTTTATTAACATGCTAAATGGAAAAATAAATTTTAAGGTCATTTAAAAGGAAAGATTAACTCTTTGATAATTTAAGAAAATAAATCTCCTATACAGCACAGATTATATTTAATAGACTTTTTTTATTGACTAGAAATTAATTAATTGAAAGGTCTTAAAAATGAAAAAAGCTTGAGATATATTTGATTAGATTTTGATAACTTATTTTTTATATTAATTTAAAATCTGATATACTGCTGATATATATATAATCCAAATTTTCTATAAAATATATATTATTACAATTATGAAAATAAGGTATACAAGCAGAAATTCTTTATGTTAGACTTAGAGTATGAATATATTATTTTAGTATAGTTTTCAAGTTTATTTTTGGTTAGTAATAAATTCATCCTTATTAAACTTTATGACTATTTAGAAATAATATATAATATAGATTAAATATTTTTAATAGAATTTGATGTCTTTTTTTATTTAAAACCTTTCTAAACTTATATTTGAGTTTTAAAAGCATTATTATTGTATATTATATTATGTATATGATATTTGCCAAAGGATAATTTTAATTAGTATAAAATAAAATTAGTAAAAAATAGAAAGTTGATTATCTTTGTTTGCTATCAATGATCAGATTAATTGCATATTATTATAATATAGATGAGATAGATTTAAATAAAATTTTATAATATGTGAAATAATTAAGTATTATAGGTTGTATTAAATATATTATAATATAAATAATAATTCAAATAATTATATGTAATCTGTTAAAAAATTAAAAATATATTTAATCTAATAAATTTGAGTTCATAAATATTTAACTATATATATAAAAAATCATTCTTTTTGTTGATTATTAAAGTCTCTATTGGATAGGGGTAACCTTACACATTTAAACTAATTAAGTTCTCTAGTATTCAATTTTTTCTTAATGCAATTTTTATTAGTCATTGAACTTCTATGAGTTAAACAGGTCTTTTTTTGTAATAAGCTCTATAGATCAGACATCACTTGCAATTCTAATTAATGAACCTTTTTATTATTAAAACTTCTTTTTGATTCTTAATCTCTAGGAGTAGATGAAATATGTTATATCTATTAAGAACTATTTTTGTTTGGTGACTTAAGTATGTTCAGAATATGAGTAACACTACTTTTTCTTTAATTAGCACTATTTGGAATATTTGTATTATTTCTAGCACTACTACATTATTGTTTATTAAATGATTATTTCATCTTTGCAGATAATTTCATAAATTGTTAAACTGGGGAAGCCATATTGACAGAAGGTGATTTAGGTTTACTTTTAGTAAATTATTGTATATTTTTTGGAGATATCTATTTGGATTGTTTTTAGCCTCTAGGTGAAGCCATATCAATTAATTAAATGGAAGGTGATTAAATTTTGAGTGGTGGAGACTTGCTTTTTTGTGGTTATTGTTATGGTTATTTAGTTTATTTTAGAATAGATTGTTTATTTGATTTACTAGTAGTTGTATTACTTCCTATGCTATTGATTTTAGTAGAAGATGTATTTGGTTATTTTTTTAATTTAAGCATAGATTGAATTTATTGTTTGATTTTTTCAATAGAATCAGGTTCTTAAATTAAGAAACTGATTCCTTACAAGATTTTATCATTTTTCGAGAGGATCTAATGTAATTTAGTTGTATATACTTCATCAGAAGAGCTAGGATCTTATGGAGTAATTTGTTCACTAGTCAAAGGTATTGGTGAATCACCTACAATTCCTTTTTGTGGTTTATCTGGGTTGTTATGGTTTTCTTAAGCAATCAAACGAGCAATTCTAAAAAATGCAAGTCTTCTTTTACGATCATGAAAATAATTTAAGGGAATAATGGCAGGAATCATAAATAAACGTGGTATGTCATTATGATACTGATTGATTTATTGAATTTCATACTTTATAATATTCTCCTAACATATGTAATTTATCTCTTAACTGATTAATGTGATAATATTTGGTTAAATGTTCTTGAGGTGTGTCATAACATTATAGATCTTTAAGTTTGATTAGTAATTAACATCTTTTTCCTTCTAAAATGTCATTTATTCCTTTTTTATAATGATAATGAGATGATTGAGAGTACTTACTTATTAAATAACTATTCATAATAAATTAAAAAATGGAACAAATTCAACAGGTAAAAGCATAATTAACGAATGCAGGAATGTTTGAAATTTATCTACAAATAAGATAAGACCAAAAATGATTTGATGGCAGTATCTTAGGCTTTAAAAAAATGGCCATAAGAAGCATAATAATTTAGATAGTATTGTCTAAACTCTAAGATCTTTGTTTCCAATGAAGTACCCAAACACGTATATGTTGTAACTAAAGGTGAATTCGTTTAAGTCAAATATGGTAATTATTTAAGTAAATGTATATTAGTCAAGTCTCAATCCAAGAATCCATTATCTTATATAAGTAAGATATTTGCTTAAGAACCTTAAATATAGAAATAACTTCGTGTAAGATAATCTATGATAATTATTCTCTTAGACATTTAAAGTGATGGATGTAATTGGAATGGATGAAATTCACAATGATAATTATACCTATGATGTTTTCTGTAATTCAACAATAGGAGAAGTATTTTGCATAAAGAAATGTGTTTTTGAGAAAATAATCCCAAATCAAACTATGAAAAAGAAGAACCTTCAAATAACGATAGAAAATAAACCATGTTAAATGATTGAAATTCATTCTGCAAAAGGAGCAACACCAATTAATCGATTATAATTGGGAGAAATACCAAGATAACCTGAAGAAATCAGTACACATCGTCATGAAAAGAGAACCATTGATTTTACAGCCTTTAAATAAATTAAACCATAGCATGTTGTTCATTAACCAATTGCGGAAGAATTAGAAGAACCTCCATTAAATAACAGATTTCTTGGTGGTAATAATAAAATTAAATATTAGATTGATTCAGCTTAAATATATATAATTTTTATATTATCATTCATTTTTATGAGTTTACTACTTATCAATTATTATATTCCAAAGTCTATCTTTATTATTCTCATCAATACTATACTGAACTTGTTTAATAATTTATATTTATATTTATATAATAATAATGTCTAACCACCGTAATCTAAAGGATTTATTTCCAACCAAACTTAATTTTGTTAAGCCAAAACCTGTAAGATATGATCCCAATTATTATTAGGAATTATAAAATGATCGGTCTAATCAAACTAACAAATCTCCTTTAGGATTAAGTTAATTTACTAGTTTTTTCTAAATAGCTTAAAAAACTACCAAAAATAGACAAACACCCTCCTCTTAAAGAAGTGCAACACCTTCAAAAGTTAAAATCATTTAACTTAATATGCAATAATAAGATTAATAACAATAGAAAATTAAATCAAAGCATACAAGGAATTAGAGTGCCACTAATATTAATAGTAGTAGAAACAATTCATTTCATAAAGAAAAGTAGGAGTATTTATTTTTAAATTCAAGTTCTCACAGTCCTGTCTATGTATTATCTAAGTTAATGTCATAAAATCATAAAAAAGATTCTTAAATATAAACGCATAATCAATCCAAAGATTAATCTCCAGCTAAACCAGCAATTTTCGATAATCTAGATATTATTAATAGAAATACTGTTCGGAAGAATTCCAAATCTCCAAATAATACTACAGCACAAAAAGTATCTCCATTTGTGTATCCAAAATTTTCAAGTGACCATCAAATTAAACCACCAGATACTTTGTTCAAGCAATAAGATAGTTTAGTTAAGGAAAATAAACCTGTTGAAAAAGGATTAAATCTAATAAATGAAGCTCCTTAGATAAAAATTAAATAGTAGGAATTCTAAGTACCTAGTTAATTTAAATACTCTAAAGGTTTTGAGAATCTATTTAATTCTATGATGAACTTTTAACATAATTCTAGATATGATAATTCTAAGAGTATAGTTAAACAACAAGAAAGATAAGAATTAAGTGATGAAAACGAAGAAACTTTAATGGTAGATTGTAACATTTAAGTCAGCAAGAATAATTTTCAATTTCATTATGTAATTGGGAAGGGTGGTTTTGGTAAAGTGTGGAAAGTTGAAATTAAGAAATCTAGATAATTTTATGCTATGAAGGAAATGTCAAAAGCAAAAGTAATAGCCAAAAGAAGTGTTAATTCTGTAATGAATGAAAGAAATCTATTGGCCTAATTTAAACATCCTTTTTTAATTAATATGAATTATTGTTTTTAAGATAGAGACAACTTATATTTAGTAATGGATTTATTAACAGGAGGAGATTTAAGATATCATATTGGGAAAATGAGAAGATTTAAGGAACATCAAACAAAATTTTTTGTAGCTTGTGTTCTATTGTCATTAGAGTATTTGCATAATAACAACATAATACATAGAGATCTTAAACCAGAAAATTTAGTATTGGATAAATATGGTTATGTTAGATTAACAGATTTAGGGATTGCTAGAATTTGGAAAGCTGAAAATTCATAAGATACAAGTGGTACTCCTGGATATATGGGTATATATTTATTTTTATATTTTATAATTTGTAGCTCCTGAAGTAATGTGCAGATAGAATCATACAATAGCTGTTGATTACTTTGCTCTTGGGATCATGGGTTATGAATTTATGTTAGGCAGAAGACCTTATAATGGAAGATCAAGATAAGAAATTAGAGATCAAATCCTTACCAGACAGGTTTAGATAAAAAAATCTGAGGTTCCAAATGATTGGTCTATTGAAGGTGCTGATTTTATAAACAAATTAATATAAAGAAAACCAATAAATAGACTTGGTTTTAAAGGACCAGATGAAGTGAAAAATCATCCTTGGCTTAGAAATTTTCCTTGGTAAAAACTTTTAAATAAAGAAATCTAATCTCCATATATTCCAAGTGTATAAACAATATTTTGATTTAGGAAATTGATGACAATATTGAATATTTAAATTAAATTAGCGAAGATAATGAAAGTCAAGATGATTTGATAAGAGAAAATAAACTCTTATTAAAGAAAAACTCAGTATAGAATCTATTCAGTGGTTATAGTTATGAATAAAATCTCTCAAAAAATACAAAAAGCACTTCTAGTACGCTCTTTTTAGGATGACTTAATTATTTTATATATTTTATACAAACTAATGTACAGAAGACTCTCAAATATTGATCGAATAAAATTATAATTCAAACTAAACCAACAAGTCAAAGACTTATTATAGAAGGGTGAAATAGATATTGACAATCCTACCCACTTTGAGGTAAACTATAATTGAAGTAAAGGTTATTGTAGGTATTTTATCAAAGGAGTAAAAATAAAGAAACTAAAATGAATTAAACTTATTATCATAAGCGTTTTACTCTATTAAATATTTTACTGAGATGCAAAAAACAACAAGTTAAGAGGAAATGCTTAATCTTTATAGAGAATTACAATACATCAATGTACCAGCACGTCGGACACTTTTTCGTTTTGGAGCAATTGGAAAAAATTTTTATATAATTTTGAGAGGTAGTGTATGGGTATTTAAATATTTATTATTTAAAAGGTTTTGGTTGGAAAAAGTGGTTTGGGTGATGATAAAATTGAAGTAATAGAAAAAAAAGGAGACAAAAAAAATGATAAAAAGAAAAAGGTTGAAAAGGAATATGATGAAGGTGAAGAATCAGTATAATTAATAAATTTATAAAAGGATGAAGATGAATTTTAAGATGTAGATGATGAGAAAATGTTAGAACTTAAATATCCTAATATGATGAAGGTTGGTAAAATAGAATAAGGAGGGAGTTTTGGAGAGATAGCTCTTACAAATTGTATGCCTAGATAAGCGACTATTGTTTGTGCAGAAGATTGTTAATTTATAAAATTATCAAGAGAGGCTTTTCATACATTCTTATGTAATAAACACTTTTATTATTTATTTAGCTGAATATTATATAAGAATTTAAAATAAAAATTTTGAATTTTTGAAATCAATCAATATATTTACTGATTGGAATGATACTGACATTAGTGTTATTTAATATCATTTCTAATCTATAGATTATGCCATGAATAATGTTATTTTTAAAGAAGGAGAATCAATTAAAGGAGTTTATTTCATTGTATCTGGTTTAGTTGAATTATAATAAAAAAGTAAAGATTTAGAAAATGTGCAATAATCTAAATAACCAAATAAATAATAAATAGTTATCAATCGATATAGTAAAGGTCAATTCTTTGGATTTATGGAAATTATGAAAAAATAATCTTAAAGGGAAACAAAAGCAATTTGTTTAACAGAAAAAGTTTAAACTTTATTTTTATAAGCAGATGTAAATCTTATTATTTAAATTTAGAGATTTAAATTATATTGTTGTAGAGGAGAATCATTGAAAACTCTATAATTAATGATGAAAAAGTTAGAATATATAATAACAAAAGCCAATCAAATTTATGGAGAAACTTAAAGATAATCAAAATAATCTTTATCATTAAATCTAATTGAAAATGATTCTGTTTTACAACGTATGAAAACAGAAAATCAACCTATTTGTAAAACTAATAGAAGTCGAATTGTTAAAAGATCTTTAGATATTCTTGCTGGAGTTTCTCATTAATCTTCTAAAATTTAAAGCTATTATGAAAGTGTTTCTTCATTTCTCAAAGATCCTTAAGTTAATTTAAACCTAAATAATCCACTTATACATATTGAACCTAGCAAACGATTAAAAATGTAATAATTACAATTCTAATTGTAATATTGTCCACATCCAACCCCTCTTACTTCAAGAATTCCTTAATTTTCTAATGGGGATTCAAAATAGGTTTTACTTAGACAACTTAAGTTACCTAGTATATTCAAATCATAATAGGAATAAGATGATCGTATATCTATCAGATAATTAGATCCTATAATTTGAATAAAAGCTTTTATTAATTAAATTATATAATTAGAAATATTATAAAATCTTCAACCTTTAATGAAATCATATAATAAAATCAGAGATTATTAACCAAGTTGTATTTAGAGTATAGTAATGCCTTGATTCTAAAATAATCATTATATGTCCACTCTTTCTTTGATTCATCACCATCTAACATTTTAACAGCCTATTTTTAGATTTTATTATTTACCTATCTCCAAGTAATAAATCTCCCTTTGATTCTCATTCTTTCTCCAGCTACCTTTTATCTAACTTAATATTGAACTCTTTTTTCATAAGTTCTATTTCTTTTCTTCTCCAAATATTTCTTTACTTTCAATTCTCTTGCTAAATTCTGCCCATTTCTATTTCTTAAACTAAATAGCCACTCCTCAAATTTCTTAGTTTTATCATCTTCAGCCAGTTCAGTACTAAGTCCTAATTTCAGCTTTTAGATTGTATTATGAGATAAAAAATTATGAATGAATTCTTCCTATTGAAAAGTAGGATAATGTCTGAGATTAATATTGAATAGATATTAATCAACTTCAATATCTAGGATTGATGAGTCTTATTCAGCTTAGGAGATTTCAGAATTATCACTCTATCCTTGAGTAGATGTATTCATGCTCTACTTCTTTTATATATTAGTATGACATTAGATTAAAATATTCTGATTGGATTCATCATCTAACATGCAATTAGTGTAATCGAATTGGTTTTAAAATTGGCAAATATTCATTTATTATAAATAAGATATTTTCACTCAAAACCGGAATTAAATTTTATATACACAATTTTAATCAATACTCCATATTATATCAATAATGATTTTGAAAATTAGACTACATCAAATCAACCTTGTATAAATCAATAAAAAATAATTAGAATAAAAGTATAAATAAATAAATTATTAATTATTTATTGTTCGAACCCATTCTCAAAGTCACCAAACTTCCATTTTTATAAAATATCTCATATATAATAAATTACATTTAATATGAGTTTCGAGAATGTATGATAATTGATAATATATGTATTTATATAATTAATTGACAGTTGTTCAACACTTGTGTGTGTTAGGTCTAAAAGAAATAAGAAAAATATTTGACAATATATGATGATTTTTGAATATTGTGTTAATAAAAAATCATCTAAATGTTCATTTTCTTCTGTTGAAGAATCTCATAACCTACTCTAAACTGGCACAATTAGTTTACATGCAAGTGGCAAATGCAGAAGCAAATTCATTATTGGCGGTGCATTCAACAAGCTTAAAAAATTACAATGATAATTACTGTGTCAATTTTCATATCTTCTCCATGTTCTTCATCACAGGTTTTCATTGTTTCAGCACATGCATCATCAAAAACACATCCAAATGCCTCATTCATGCAATTATCTTAAATGCATTAAACCATTGGATTTGTTGGCTCTTCACCTTCTTATTTGTGATGTTTTCTAGCTGTGATACAAAGGATAAGTAATGCGATTGCCAAAATTTATTTCATTTTTATTTATCAATATGGAGAAAGTTAATTGTGACTTTTATATTATGAAAAAGATATGTTTTAATTTAAATCATTTTATTTAATCAATAAAATATCTAAAAATTCTTTGGTTACGGAAATCTTTAGGTTGATCTAACTGAAATTATATATAAAATAATTTATATTAAAATAAAAATAATTAATAACCATGAACAAGTTGCTAAAGTAATTTATCATTAAGTTAATATAATAAATTTACTAATTCTAAAGTGCTTTGTTACTATATCTCACATAAATACTTCTATAATATAAACATTTGAAAACAAAATAATTTGAATTTGTTATTTTATTCAATAACTTCTGAAATATATTATATACTCAAAATTTCTAATACAATTTATTTTTACATATAAGTGTAGATATTCTTATCAGAACTAATTAATTATAATACACAAATAATATTATTATTTATAGTTATTGTATTTAAAATAATTCCAAAAAAATTGAACAATACGGATAATAGGATAACGGAAAAAAAAGAATGTCCATTATGAAAAAAATCACAAATATTTTATTCTAATTAAAAAACAAATGAAAATTTTTATTGTAAATTTTTATAAGAATTAATATTAAATGATTTTTAATATAAGGATTGAATATTTTTATATGTTTTTTATCAAATTTTTGTTAAATCTAAAGAATATATATCATTAAAGGACATTTGATGTCTATCTCCACCGAAAATTAGAAGTTAAGATTCATATTTTGTAAATGAATGTCCATCTCGAGCACAAGGTTTTTTTCCTACAATCGAATTTTACATTGATTAAAGTGGTTATAAAAATCTAAAAGAAAAATAATTGAAAATATACCTAGAAACCAAAGGTTTTCCAAATTCAGTTAATTTCCCTTATCTAATCTTTAAATCAGCTTTTGGATTTCCTACTAAAAATAATGAATTCCTCATTTTTTCAGAAGTAGGTGAATTATCTCTTAATTATTATTTTTAACCTTCATCAACTTCAAAAATCTTTAATAAAGCCATTTTCTTTTATTAAATTTCTTTCTTTTTTTTTTCATCAAGGGTTTTTTAATTAGATTAAGCTTGAGATAAATTTCTAGTGGGTGAATCCACGCTGTCTTCAGATTAATCAGGTTTTTTAAGAGGAGAGAGAGTTGTTCTTTTAATAGTCTTTTTTATACTACCAGTTCTAGTTGATTTTCTAAATCTACATGAATTTTAAAGATCTTATTTATTATCTTTGTTAGGAGATAATTATTATTTATCTTTTTTCCTAGCACTATCCTCATCAACACTAATCCATTCCATTTTTTTAAGATTAAATACAAATAAATCATCTAATTCCCAAGTGATATCATGTATTCCACCAAAAATAATAATTTTATCATCATGAATAGACATTACATGTCCTGATCTAACTTTAGGTAATATATTCGAACTAACAGGTATGTAGGTCCATACTTAGAAATCAAATTTCCATAGATCATTGAATCTTTAATGTCCATTAGATCCTCCAAACATATAGAGAATATTCTTATGTATTGTTATGCCTGCTCCATCTCTGGGAGTGGGAGCTGTACTATTTTAAGGTTAAATCCTTTGCCATGTATTAGAAGCAAACTCATATTTATAGACATAGTTAGAATGTAATCCAACTGTACCTCCAAAAAAGCCTCCAAATACAATCCAATTATCATTATGAATAATGGCTGTATGATTATCTATTTCTGGAGGGTAAGATTAATTAATTTTGCACTTAATCCAAGTGTGGGAATTGAGATCAAAATACCACATGGAATTAGTTGAGACAGATTAATGGATTTAGCCACCAAAAATATAGATTCTATCCATGTAAGTACACATTTAATGACGAGTTCTTGGTCCTGGGTTTTCTTTATAGATCAGCTTTTCCCATTAATAACTTAAACTCTTTAAATTCATACGATAGAATTCATCCATGATTCCTAATTGAACTTAGTATCCACCATATAAATATAAGCTATATAATAAACAATATATACAAATCATTATGAATTGTTATACTTGTATAAGCTCTATGATTGATATTTTTGCCATCTACTTTAAGTTCTGACCATTTTGGATCCTGATTCTCTACATTTACAGTTTTTACAAGTTATATGTACTTGTATTCTTGTTCTTGTTATTACTCCTATCTACTTGGAATCAAACTAATACGTTTGACTTCCTTGGTATCCTTATTTGATCGATTAGATAACATAATAAATATTATAACAGTTAAAATGGGGAATTGCACAACCTGTGATGATCCAAATATATACGAATCTCGTAATGAACTCAAACCAACAAAGAAGGCACCTGATAATCAAGAAAATATAAGTGTTAAACCAAAATTATCACAATCCTCTCAATTAACTTAACATATTAGATCTAATCTCAAAACTCTAAGTTCTATGCCTGATTTCTCTAATTCATTCACATAAGAAGCATTAAATAGAGTTGGTCCTTATTAATATGATGATCCAACTGAAGATATATTTGCTCTACCTTATTCTGGAGTATTGGAAATTGAAACAAATGTGTACTATGAAGGACAGTGGAAGAATGGAATGAGATAAGGAAGAGGCAAATAGCATTGGGCTGATGGTTCAATTTATGAAGGTTATTTTGCATCAGATATGGCTAACGGAAAAGGCAGATTGATTCATGCTGATGGAGATGTTTATATTGGAGAATGGTTAAATGATAAAGCTCATGGCAAAGGAACTTATTATCATAAAGATGGAGCATCATATGTAGGAGAGTGGTTTGAAGATAAATAACATGGTTTTGGAGTTGAAAAATGGGCTGATGGAGCCATGTATGAAGGTGATTATGATATGGGTTTAAAACATGGAATTGGTACATTTACATGGAGTGATGGTAGTACTTATACTGGTGAGTTTGCTTTTAATAATATTCATGGTAAAGGAGTTTATAAATGGGCAGATTTTAGAGAGTATACTGGAGATTGGAAAGACAATAAAATGGATGGAAATGGTATTTTTACATGGAAGGATGGTAGAAAATATAAAGGATAATATTTTGATGATAAGAAACATGGTTTTGGAGAATTTTTTTGGCCAGATGGAAGAATGTATAAAGGTTTTTGGAAGGATGGATAATAACATGGTAAAGGAGTATATAGAGGTAGTAATGGTGTTGAAAGAGAAGGAGAATGGGAAGATGGAAAAAAAATAAGATGGTTAGATGAATGAAATAAATAATATTATTATATTATTACTACAATATTAATCACTTATTAAATATATATATATTGACAACAGATAAATATTTAAAATTTTAAATACATTAGTGATATAGTGACATTTTTAGAGACTCAAATAAAATGCTTCTTGTAGTTATGACTTTAAATTAAATANATTGATATTTTTGCCATCTACTTTAAGTTCTGACCATTTTGGATCCTGATTCTCTACATTTACAGTTTTTACAAGTTATATGTACTTGTATTCTTGTTCTTGTTATTACTCCTATCTACTTGGAATCAAACTAATACGTTTGACTTCCTTGGTATCCTTATTTGATCGATTAGATAACATAATAAATATTATAACAGTTAAAATGGGGAATTGCACAACCTGTGATGATCCAAATATATACGAATCTCGTAATGAACTCAAACCAACAAAGAAGGCACCTGATAATCAAGAAAATATAAGTGTTAAACCAAAATTATCACAATCCTCTCAATTAACTTAACATATTAGATCTAATCTCAAAACTCTAAGTTCTATGCCTGATTTCTCTAATTCATTCACATAAGAAGCATTAAATAGAGTTGGTCCTTATTAATATGATGATCCAACTGAAGATATATTTGCTCTACCTTATTCTGGAGTATTGGAAATTGAAACAAATGTGTACTATGAAGGACAGTGGAAGAATGGAATGAGATAAGGAAGAGGCAAATAGCATTGGGCTGATGGTTCAATTTATGAAGGTTATTTTGCATCAGATATGGCTAACGGAAAAGGCAGATTGATTCATGCTGATGGAGATGTTTATATTGGAGAATGGTTAAATGATAAAGCTCATGGCAAAGGAACTTATTATCATAAAGATGGAGCATCATATGTAGGAGAGTGGTTTGAAGATAAATAACATGGTTTTGGAGTTGAAAAATGGGCTGATGGAGCCATGTATGAAGGTGATTATGATATGGGTTTAAAACATGGAATTGGTACATTTACATGGAGTGATGGTAGTACTTATACTGGTGAGTTTGCTTTTAATAATATTCATGGTAAAGGAGTTTATAAATGGGCAGATTTTAGAGAGTATACTGGAGATTGGAAAGACAATAAAATGGATGGAAATGGTATTTTTACATGGAAGGATGGTAGAAAATATAAAGGATAATATTTTGATGATAAGAAACATGGTTTTGGAGAATTTTTTTGGCCAGATGGAAGAATGTATAAAGGTTTTTGGAAGGATGGATAATAACATGGTAAAGGAGTATATAGAGGTAGTAATGGTGTTGAAAGAGAAGGAGAATGGGAAGATGGAAAAAAAATAAGATGGTTAGATGAATGAAATAAATAATATTATTATATTATTACTACAATATTAATCACTTATTAAATATATATATATTGACAACAGATAAATATTTAAAATTTTAAATACATTAGTGATATAGTGACATTTTTAGAGACTCAAATAAAATGCTTCTTGTAGTTATGACTTTAAATTAAATATTATTGGTTTGAATGTAGTTCTTATTTTTTTAGGAAATACAATATTAATTATAAATTATTTGTGATGGAAGTTGACGAGATTAGAATGGATAATATTGATAATTTAACAGAAGAATAGTTAAAGATACTTGAATAGAGATATAAATAGTAATATTTACCAAATTATCGATTGTATTTGCTTGTGCCATTCAATTTGATTACTGCAGGATTTTCAATGTATTACACAATACATTTCAAATATTATTCTAAAAAGTTATTTTCACCTAAATAATTTGGTTTCAGAGAAGTGATAAAGTATGGCACAATTCAATCAATTGTTTTTACATCATTTTATATTTTGGGCACTGCAGCAATAACAGGTAATGTGTATTATAAATTTTAGGACTTTATAATCCAATTGAATATATGAGAGGTTTAGCAAAAATAAAAGGGAAATAAATAGATACAGCTTTAAAGTTTGATCCAAATTTTTAATAACATTTCCTATTTAATTTATTAGATTATTTTGGAGTTAGTGATAAAGTTGTAAATGAAGTGAAGTAATTTATTAATAATATATAATTTATAGAGGTGAATTATTAACTTAAAAGAATGAATTAGAATCTAAGAATTACTTTAGTAAAGAAACATCAAAATTATTGAATTAAGATCTTGATAATAAATGATTTTGTAATATATAAATATATATATATATATGTAGATATTTCATTTTTTAATAAAAGAAGCTTCTAAAAACATCTATCTTTTGGATGCAGGTGGAGTAAGTTATCTTGCTTTTTTGATATTCTCAACAACATAGTTTTTGGATTAATCAATAATTGTTGATTACTAAATTTAAGATTTTATTAAATGATTATCAATATTTGATTGTTTAATTTATGGAGGTATATATTTTGGAAGAATACCTTTAATTAAATAAGACCTAAATTATAATAATTCAGTACCAATACATATCTTCTGTTTAAATTACTAATTTTCCTTTTCTAATTTTACCATATTCTATTGGAGTAAATTAAATTACAAAAGTAGTTCCCTCTCTTCCATATGGTTCAAGATCACCAATTTTAGGTATAACTGAAAATTCAGCATCAGATTCAGGAGTGAATCCAGCATAGAATTTAGCATATCCTTTGGTTTTATTTGTTAATTTGAAGGAGACACTAGAAGTTTTATTTAATGGTGAACTAATTATGATGACATCATCTTCATCAGGTTAAGTAGCTTCTAAAATTATTTTATATCTAATATATTAATTTATTAATACTTCCATCTTCCACCACTTTGTCTAAGAACAATAAATTCAATACTAGCTTTAAAAGGTTTCATTGGTTAAAATCGAACAGCATAATGGAGATTTTCATGAGGATTATATAATTAATTTTTAGTACACTTAACACTAAAGCATTTGTTGATCATTTGTTATAAATCTACTGGAATATTAGCCAATTCAAAATCGAATTTATCATCAGCTTATAAAGTTTAAGCAATTCCTTAGAGACCAATCTTAATTTCATCTTCCCACTTTTCTCTACACTTTGCCTTAAAATGAAACAAAGTTTAATTGGAAATGCTTTCTGTTACACCTTTTATAGGAAATGTCCATGAAATCTTTTCATTCATTTGAATAATTATTTCAGCATAATAACATGTTATTTCTCTTGGAACAAATGAAAAAGGAATTTATAACACATTCATTCCTGGAACAAGAATCTTATCATTTTTACTAGTTAATAATTTAAAAACTTCTTTATTATGTCCTTCTGCTTCTAATTCAATTTTAACAGTAATTGGATCTTTGAAAGGATTTTTAAAATGTACAACAGAACTATAATCTTTATTTAATCCTATACTAACAGTAGTAACTGGAAATTTAGTTGGAGGTAAACCATTACCAAATACTAAATAATGCCATTTTCCAATAGGAGATGTAAATATAATTTCTGATTATTCAATTTAATCAAGAGAAGATGGAGTATATCTAATATTAACTTTTAAAATGTCATATGGTTGAATAACTAATTCATTTGGAAAGATATCAAAATTAGTTGGATTAGATATTCTATACTACAAAGTAATCTTTTAATCAGATGGATTTTCTAAAACTACAGTCTATGATTCTACTTTTCCAAGAGATGCCTTTAATACATTTAATTTTATTATCGGTTATTCTTCACAAGTGAGTATAAATTCATACCAAACTTCACCTAATTAACGATTTACAAATGCTACACTACCTCTCCATCTTCCAACTTTAAGAGGAGCAAAAGTCAATTCATAATTTCCTTCTTTATTTGCTCCAATAGCAAATTAATCTTCACCTACTAAACCATCACCATTTATTACAGCTTCATAAATTGCTGTTTCAGACATTGGATTTACAAGTGTTAATTACATTACTGTTGCTTATCTAATTAAACAAGATAATTCTAAAGTCTAAACTGATTTTGGTGATTCTGTATTCATAAAGACAGTATACCATAAATATCTTCCATTTTCT